GCCTACATTTCTCTACTGAAGAAAAGTAATATTTTGTTGATGAAAGAGTAATTTCGGAATAATTCTGCTTCGTGTGATTGACACCAAGGAATTTGCATAGACTAATAATAAGTTCATCTAGGAAGATGGCTGAGTTCATATCAAAGGTTAAAAAAACATTGGCAAGCAAGAAACCAACCATAATCTGGAATTAATTTAACTATCATTATAATGAAACAAACATAAAACAGCTTCCCATTGGAATTTGAGACACTTTGGAGACTTGCACGTTATTCTTTCTTCCTTAAATCATTCAGGAACCGATAGAACTTATCCTGGCTACACTTACCTCTGTTTACTCTCACAATCCCCTAGGAAAAGTGAGTGTAATATTATGCCCTCCTATACGAAGCCAATCTGCCTTATTTCATGCACTAATCAAGATAATAATATCAGAGAAAATCAGACTGAAGTTGCACTCCAAGAATAGATATATGGTGGAAAGCTGCTTGACAAAACTCACCTTGAAGGTTTCTTCCGATACCTGACGAGTTCGGTGTAGGACAGCTTCATTCAAACACAGCTTGTCCAATTCATTCTTATTAGCTGCTGCTTGCAATATTGGCACAAGTGCGTCAATCAGGGTCCTTGCGTAATATTTAATTCCTTCTGATTGCGCAAAGTTGCTTTCATCGAGACCTTGAAGTCTTGAGAATTTGGGAATATATTCAGGTTTAGCTTTCAAAAACCTGAGATTTAGTGAGAACAAATATTCTTCCTGCGTTTCACACACTTACCATCCATACACCTTCAAGCCAAGTCCTACACGGTGTTCTTCTGTATCTACATGAGGTCCCAGTTCGCTAATTAACCGATCAACTTGGGATTGAGTGACACCGGTCATAATAATAAGCTGTTTGTATGATGAGATACTACTTGCTATGTGAAGAATGTCACACCCGTATATATATCTGATAAGTGAACTGAGAAAACCAATTAAAACAATCTACGCTCATTCAATTGTCATTGATAGACGTAGTCACACACAGATTAGCAAATAAAGCAATGACATATTTTATGCTCCAATTGCATTGGTTGATAAACTTTGAAATCTTGAGGGAACACGTTCTAATATCTGAAAGCATGACCGAAGAATCCTGCTCAGAACTAAATGCACTGAATTCACTTCATCTAAGCGCAAGATGAAGTTTCGAATGGCTGTCTTCAGAATTTCAACGTTCAGTATTGTTCACGATTCGTTTACTACTGAGACTGTTAGTATTTGACACCACCAGACTCATATGGAAATTTGGTTTTCATTGTATTCGATATGGTAGTAGCCATAACACTGTAGAGAACTGATACCAGATATAGGTCAAATGGTGACTTTGTGCAGCACTTAGAACAGGTTGCTATTAAAATTGTGAGCGCTTGAAAATGGAATAGTGTTTACAAGAATAACAGGTTCAAAGTATGTACGAAGTGATTGTTTTGAAGTTAGGAATTTTTAAAGCAAAATGAAGACGAAGGATCATTCTACAAAGAGTCAAAAATACGCTTAAGACTAAGGTGATGGAAGGATTTGGTAAGCGGCTTTTGTGGTTAGAGTTCAGGGTTTTCATCTTCAGCAGTGCGAACGTGATCTTAACACGAAGAGATAGCCAGAAACACCTCAAAAACCTCAATCATACGCATGTGTCATTTTGTAAGACTCCTGTCTCAGCGCGAATGATGTGTAGGACAATGATCCTTTCTTCGTTTATTGCTGGCTTTTTTGCGGAATTTCGCCTTGTACCCCTCTATATTAGAATTTGTTGCATCTGATCCTCCACAGGAAATATATGGTTGGTACATATATTCTACCTACCAAACCTGACTTTTCTGGTAAGAATCCGGGAAAATCTATCTGATTAAACGCATGATAGAATGCACCATCTATTACAAAAATATATTAAAATGACATACTTTTATTCCCTTAATGAATTTCAACAAAGCAAGAACTGCAGGTTTAGCAGAATAAAGTGGTACCATCTTTTATTTCGTTGCCTTCTCGTCAGCTGCTTACAGGGCAATGACATAATTAAATATATCTACAAAAACAATTTTAACATACTTGCACAGAGTTCATTTTAAATAAAAATCAATCGATCACTGTATGCACACAGTAACAATATATACATACATATGTAATAATAAACACTATTCCGAACAATAATAATCATACACAAAGGAAACTTTTCAGCATTTAACATTCAAATGAAAGAGAGATGAAATATATCCGGTTACCAGGGCAAAGAAACACTGATAACCGCTTCTTTCTGGACGCATAAATCAGGTTTCAGGAGCTTGATGGAAATGGCTTAAGCAAACTTAAGGAGAATTGAGCTCTTTTGCCTATCGATAATTTTGAACGACTTTTCGATGTCCACCTCATGACCCATGTCGATGTGATGCCTGCCGATATCACTGTTCGGAACATTTGTTGCCTTTAGACGTAAGCTTTTTGGTACATGTTCAAAAAATCGTAGATATGCCCCTCTTTCTGTCCTTCCAATGTAACTGCTCCTGCAGATACATGTAAATTTGTATATACAGTTGGAGTTAACATGAGAAGGATATCTATCGATTTTTGATTGCATCAAAGAGCAAGTTGTTCGATAGATGGGGACGAGCTTAGCTGCAGGACAGGCTATGGCTAGTGATGTACTCAGCCTTCTGTTGATCACCGCTGCAATGGTTTCACCTTTATAATCAAGCTGAATGTAGATTGGTTTTTTACCCACTGTGATTTGTTTTAAATTTGTAACTTCAGATATTCCATACCTGTTGATGAACCTTTTGGGGTACCCATTGCTCTTCAATATCTTTCCAAGAAACTCTAACTCTTTCTCTAATTTCTCTATAGGGCATTATATCCTTGCTCTATAGCACAGAGTCTTGACTAGTCCGCGTTTAAAGCTATTTGGAGAAAAGCTATTAAAATGTAAGTATTATCCTTTCCATGTAGGCTTTCGATAAATTGACTTCTGAAGACTGCCGTCTTCTAGGCGTTTCATGGTGATGCCGTCACTTTCATGTTCCATAGTAAACTCAATATTGGTGTGTGCATCATTGAATAATCTTAGTAAGTGTGAAGCATGACTTTCATTGTTCCACACCACAAATGTGTCATAAATATATCGACAGTAAGAAGTTGTTTCGTCAATTGCATGCCTCAACTTTGTTCTTTCAAGGTTGGACATGAATATATCTGCTAAAACAGGGCTAAGTAGACTGCCCATACCTACACAATCAATTTGGCGGTAAAGAGTGTTGTCAAACTGGAATTGTACATCTATGGTACACATAAGCAGTAGGCGTTTGAATTCCGACAATGGTAGTGGGAGAAGATCAGACTACTGACAAATGATCTCAATAGTTTCGTTGATTGGAATAACACTGTGAACAAGGAGGTTACATCAAATGACACCATGAAATCGATATCCAGTAAATAATACTGTTTCACTGTGTGATACATCTAATAAACAAACTAATATGGAATTACTTGCAATTACTTACTACCCCAGTGCCCAAGTTTTACATATACATTAATACTTCAAATCTCAGCTTTACTCAACATTAATCATAAAGCTAACTGAATCCAAACATTATGCTTACCGTAAGCCAATTCTCAGAGTAATTTAAGATGAATACGAACATTAGGACACTTAAGAGTAGCTCGTTAGCAAAATAGATGCTAAATAAGAAACGATCTGATTGGACTCTCAAGAACATTCTGCAGATCACCTATTTTGGTTGCTATTCATTGTATTTACACAGAATATTTTCAATTCTGTCGATGCAAATGTCGCTTAAATTAAAATTGTTAATGAATTCGTTTTACAACAGAAGCGAAGTCACATTGTTGGCTTTCCTTGTTGAATGTTCATTTCTCAAGATGGCACCGACCAATCGATCTGACAAAAACCCAAATGCGATGGACAACTGACCAAATATTACTGCTTTGTTACATGAATATAAAAACAAACTATCAAATGTCTTCACACAAGTGTCTGTAGATTGTGTACAGAAGAGGAAATCGAAAGAGAATCGCTCTCTGCACAAAATAGAAATTCCTTTAGAAACATCCTGATTTGGATAAATTATCCATAATTAGTCATAACCTTTTCTATTAAAGCTTGATTCCACACCGTATTTTTGGTGCAAGTATGGAATTTTCAGCATGTGAAATCGGCAGCTCAAATTTTGCAGGCCGACAATTGATATCGTGTGTGCGTCCGCGGGAGATTGAACCCAGGACATTGCGCATCCTCGGCGAGAGTCCTAACCGCTGTGCCACAGATGATGAACTCTACCTACAGAAGTCGTTTACGAAATCCTTTCATCACCTTAGTCTTAAGCGTATTTTTGACTCTTTGTAGAATGATCCTTCGTCTTCATTTTGCTTTAAAAATTCCTAACTTCAAAACAATCACTTCGTACATACTTTGAACCTGTTATTCTTGTAAACACTATTCCATTTTCAAGCGCTCACAATTTTAATAGCAACCTGTTCTAAGTGCTGCACAAAGTCACCATTTGACCTATATCTGGTATCAGTTCTCTACAGTGTTATGGCTACTACCATATCGAATACAATGAAAACCAAATTTCCATATGAGTCTGGTGGTGTCAAATACTAACAGTCTCAGTAGTAAACGAATCGTGAACAATACTGAACGTTGAAATTCTGAAGACAGCCATTCGAAACTTCATCTTGCGCTTAGATGAAGTGAATTCAGTGCATTTAGTTCTGAGCAGGATTCTTCGGTCATGCTTTCAGATATTAGAACGTGTTCCCTCAAGATTTCAAAGTTTATCAACCAATGCAATTGGAGCATAAAATATGTCATTGCTTTATTTGCTAATCTGTGTGTGACTACGTCTATCAATGACAATTGAATGAGCGTAGATTGTTTTAATTGGTTTTCTCAGTTCACTTATCAGATATATATACGGGTGTGACATTCTTCACATAGCAAGTAGTATCTCATCATACAAACAGCTTATTATTATGACCGGTGTCACTCAATCCCAAGTTGATCGGTTAATTAGCGAACTGGGACCTCATGTAGATACAGAAGAACACCGTGTAGGACTTGGCTTGAAGGTGTATGGATGGTAAGTGTGTGAAACGCAGGAAGAATATTTGTTCTCACTAAATCTCAGGTTTTTGAAAGCTAAACCTGAATATATTCCCAAATTCTCAAGACTTCAAGGTCTCGATGAAAGCAACTTTGCGCAATCAGAAGGAATTAAATATTACGCAAGGACCCTGATTGACGCACTTGTGCCAATATTGCAAGCAGCAGCTAATAAGAATGAATTGGACAAGCTGTGTTTGAATGAAGCTGTCCTACACCGAACTCGTCAGGTATCGGAAGAAACCTTCAAGGTGAGTTTTGTCAAGCAGCTTTTCACCATATATCTATTCTTGGAGTGCAACTTCAGTCTGATTTTCTCTGATATTATTATCTTGATTAGTGCATGAAATAAGGCAGATTGGCTTCGTATAGGAGGGCATAATATTACACTCACTTTTCCTAGGGGATTGTGAGAGTAAACAGAGGTAAGTGTAGCCAGGATAAGTTCTATCGGTTCCTGAATGATTTAAGGAAGAAAGAATAACGTGCAAGTCTCCAAAGTGTCTCAAATTCCAATGGGAAGCTGTTTTATGTTTGTTTCATTATAATGATAGTTAAATTAATTCCAGATTATGGTTGGTTTCTTGCTTGCCAATGTTTTTTTAACCTTTGATATGAACTCAGCCATCTTCCTAGATGAACTTATTATTAGTCTATGCAAATTCCTTGGTGTCAATCACACGAAGCAGAATTATTCCGAAATTACTCTTTCATCAACAAAATATTACTTTTCTTCAGTAGAGAAATGTAGGCAGCAGGATACCATATATTGGGTGTTATATAAAATTAGCACGAACTCCTTATGGTGTTTCTCACACAGTTACCTTCCTTTTGTTTCATTCTATATTTTAGAATTCGCTGCCGATATTTTTAGACATTTTTGACTACTATTTGGAAGATCCGGAGAACAAGGAAACAATGAGGAAAATTTTGAAATACGTATTTCCGGCAATCGGTACTCAGATATAGACAAGCGATAGTCAAACTTTTTATAAAATGAATGCGATCCATCGGAACTGACAATGAATGAATTTGTACAGGATGGTCTTAAAATTACTCAGTTGCTGATTACCTTAAACTGCTCAGTATGGAACAATAAAAACACTACCCAGTAATTTTTTTAAAGATAATTATGGAACTTTATTTGGTTTCTTTTTGCTGCTTCATAATTGTGCGATAATTCGAGAGGTAGAAACTTGTTTGTTATGTGGAGAAAACATCAATCTGAAATAGTTGCAATAATAATAATAGAACTATGTGTAAGTAATGACTCTTGCATTGAACCGAAGAGGCTAGCTAAATTTATCCGACTGTTCAGTGGTGTGTGGAATTGATGCCTATGTCATAAATATCTGATAAGTGAAAGCGTTTAATGCGTGTTTTGTATTAGTTTGATGACCACCCTAACTGTGACTTTTTTGTTGTACACGCGTAGATTTTGAGTTGTTTAATTAGTAATACTCTTTTATAGAATAACGGTATTGAATAACCATTCTGAAAGATGTGAGTATTGGATAGGAGTGATGCTAATATTAGTGTTAGTTGCGGTAATGTAACTGTTAGTAGTGTGGCGCGTGCTACTGGCAAGAGTTTCCAAGTAGTATATTTTTAACGGCTTCTGTGAGAATCTCGAATAATGAAGCAATGGATTAAGTTGCATAGAGGAGAGCTGAAGTGCTATGAAAAGTATGCTGTGAAGGCGAAAATGTAGAATATGAATAATTTGTACAAATCGAAGCTTCAATGGGGAATTTTTATATTTTGCGACCACTGTTCATCATCTTGCCAAACAAGTAATTCTGCTTCCAAATCCAGTCTGTTGCCCATTACAGTAGAATTAGCGGAAGCTTCAAATGTGTTAATTTCAGTAGTGGCATTATTTTACTACTAGTTGATCTAGTATTCATAGCGATAGTGCTGATGATTGTAAGTGTGCTACAAAATCGAGTCTAAGTGGACACTTATTTGACTAATGCCAGGGGTTACTCTAATATTTTGACTTCGTCCACAGTGGAATTGGATGTGACACCCTTGCACGGTAAAGTGAGATATTGTATATGAGTGACAGAGGATGATGAGGAAAATGTTTCTGCTAAATAACAATACATATATTATTAGAACATTTTTTTGAATTCGAGCGATATATTCTAGTCTATGGAATACTTTCACTGAGGTCATATCTCAACAGTTATATGTGTATGCTGTAAACTTATCAATTTTGCGTTGGGTCGAGTTTGCGCATTAGATCCTCCGTCATATGATATATCAGTTAGAGATGTTGACTTATCAATTGGAACGGTCGTCGTACATCCTTTTCAATAGGGAATGATCATTTACACAACAAATGGTCTGCAAGCATCCGAGTAGATATCGGGTCAATGAGACATATACTTTCACTCAGAGTTATTAATCAAGAACAGTCATGATGTTGGTGTTTTGAATAGATGAGCTACATGATATTGTTGAGTGATTTTGACTACTGTATTACTGTCAACACCGTTTCTAGCAGGGAGACCTTCACAACGAACCTACTGCCGACGAAATTGATGCCTAACGAAGAGTGGACTATTGGAGATGGTGATGTTGATTGATCACGTCGTAGTATGGAATTCTATCGGTTAATTAATGTGTTATTTTGAGATTATTGGATGACGTGTTTTGAAGCTGATATTTTCGATAACCACTGCATTTTCATACAAAGAACACCACTAGAATAATTGACCAAATATTGTAGATACAGTTGTGATGTTTATTCTTACTTATTAGTCAGGTGTATTTTAGGTGCTTTGACAACTAACTAACATTACAGAGAAATGAGAGCTGTCTATTGGCTGATTTATACCACTTGCATGTATGAGTGTTTCAGTTTTCGTTTCATTCTGTCGTTTGTTTGACGACTGAGCAGTTGCAAAGTAACTACCGAGAACAGAGACTAGGTTATTTGTGTTACACTGAAGGGATGTTGAAAATCTACTGCAAAAGGTGGAACACTGTGGCGATGTTTTTCAAAACAGTAGTCTATATCAATCAGTATGTGCAGCGCTAGTACTGGAAGTGTGTGAAAAATGTGCTACCAGAACCATATCTTTTGACTTTCAATTTCAGTGCAAGAGGAATTATGAGCACTTATTCGTGTATGATTGGTTGTTTTAATACTATATTTTGACGAAACCCATGCCACATGTAGTCAGACGTGTCAGTCAAATATTTTATTTATTTCTATATGTATGACCTAGTTTCAACAATTGTTTTCATTCATTAGACCTGAAACAATCGTAACTACATACGATTTCATGCATGTTTATGTTCAGACAAGTTTCGTTTAAAACACATATTAGCACAGACCAAATACAAGTTTGCAATGACTGATGGGTATCAATAAAAATAGAATGGAAGTTTAATTAGATGTGAGCAGCTATAAACAAGGAGTTGTGTGATGAGACAAACAAGATAGTCAATGAGTAAATTATTGTCAAAATGAACGTAGAAAGACAAGAGTGTTGAAATTACACGGGAATGGAAAGGGTAAGGGAAGCATATTTTAGTTCGTGCAATATATTCTCTCCAAGGATTCTGAAGTAGGTAAGAAAAAAATTGTACAGAATTCAATGGATGCGTTCCACTGCATGACATTCTTGCTAACTGCGTGCACGCTAATCACATCTTCCAGGATATGTACAGGCACCAGTAGTTTGTAAAACAGGACGTCTCGGTATATAATCCATTGATTATGAAAAGAAAAAGTATAATGATTTTGGTTAAGAAATTTCTGCTGATTTGTAAACGTCCTTTATATTTGATACACCAGGTAAACTACTATCTTACAACATTTTCTCAAGTAAACTATTGACTTGAAAACATTCACTTCTTATCCAGTCATGTAATATTGGGCTGTGTGATACTATCACATCAGTAATTATTTAGATTTTACTGAAAATAACGCGCGGTAGGTGTGTGTGGGCCAGAGGTAATCTTTGGCGATGTTAAACATGCTAATGAAGGCCAATTAATACGGTCATATAATGCACTGGATGAGGTACAAAATGTTTGGATCTATGTGTACTTTGTTCCAGTTTCCTCGAAATTCTATTTAAACATTACTGGTGTTTATCAAGAAATATGAAATGTAGGTCCTGTGGCACACGTTGATCGACTCGAAATGACATTTACTGTCATGGCTGTGAAAAAAGTTTATTTCACGGTCTTACTATGCTCGACTGAATGACTCAGTTGGATTGATTAAGTCTGTATAACTCTCTTTGTAACTCCATAATGATGAATATTGTGATTGATTTGAAGGCTGTTCAACATCGAATGCGTTGAAATGAAGCATGGCGTGTTCAGCATTTAACTTTCAGTCAACGAGTTCGACGTTTAAGGGGTGTATGAGTATGAGTTCACAAGATTAAATATCTCGTATTAGATGGGGATCGACTGACAGGACATTTATTATTTTTGCCTAACGATCATACATGCGTGTAATGGCGTTCACTATTGTTGTGGTTTTAGCGGATACTTGAACACTGAGTGCGATGAAAGAACACGTAGTGAAGTTTAGTGTCTCAGCTGCTAATGCAACTCCCAGTTCACATCATTTTGTCAATGTTCTGATTACTTTGAGTAACATAAGTAATGTTTGTATGACGATTAGAACGATGGGTGCTTGTGTTTGACACGTAGTTTGTTTTGAATTGAACGATTTGTGAGTGAAGACAACAAGATGTGGGGCATATTCAAATATTGGTGACTGGATAATGGTTAGAATGGTGGATGCTTATTGTGTGTCTCTTGTAGTCGACACGTTCCATGGAGTGCAATTGACTTGACCTATATAGTGGTCATTGAACTGGTGAAAGAATGACTTGTTCATCAGTATTACATGAGACCTAAATGTCACAGTGCATGAAGTTGATGGAAACGTGACATTTCATTTGTGCATGTGTACGAGGTCTCAGAGACAAATATCTCAACGCACATGATGAATGACTCACAAGACAAATGTCATTCACGTCTTAGGATAGATACCACATGCATGGATAGATGTTAACTGTTGTTAAGAATACCACACTGATTTTCATGTCTGAATGAAAGTTTCGTGTGGTGTATAGGAATCATGGTGTTTTAACAGCGTCATTCGATATTGACTGTTAGGGAGTCAGTGATACTCGAAAGTATTCAGTTCTGTATGGAAGTGTAAACTATTTGACATCTTCAATCTCACTAATTTCTCTCATTCATCACATATGCACTGCGAATTATGGTGAGGTTCTCCTAACTATCGTGACATCTCCTTTGAACTCGATGTCAATCAGCATTGACCGCTATCTCGACAACCGCCGTCGATTGTATCCCCGCTGCGAAATTTCACTTCCGACCTCAACGTTTCAACGTGTTCCTAACATAAAAATATCAGACATTCTGTAATTTGTTTTCGAACTTACATTTAAATGGAGCCTGATCATTTTTGTCTCCTTTAATTACCTAATACAGTTCATTTTCTAATACTCAGAAGCGTAACGCGTGATTAGTCAAATTACTTCTCTCACACGTACTCAAAATGTTCAACTGGTATCTCTTTCAGCATCATGATCACAAAGATAGCTTAATAATCATCCATTATCTTGTCACTGTTGCATGGGGTTGACTGCATTAAAGCTTAAACTATACTCACTGAAGTTATATAAAGACTTTTTATTTGTGTGTCTAAAGCGTTATATATTAAGAGCACCTTCAGTTCACAGGTGGGACGTGTTTCAATGAAATAAGTATTGTTTGTTATATTTATTGTAATTATCTCTTATTTTACCTGAGAATGATTGAGTGGATGTGATTAGAGTTGAAAATATGCTTGTATTGTGATTTACTATTATCCAGTTTTAAAAGATTGTCTTTCATCATATTTAGATGTGCTATGAACTCATGATATAATCAAAATAAAAAATAAAATAGCACGCACCAGTGTGTCCTTGTAGTGTAGTACGAACAAATCGAGGGAAGCAGATGGATTTTAGTGGCTTCACATGTAGTAGAATGACCAAAATTCATTAGAACCGCCATGAAAATGGTTGGTGCCAATCGGTTGTAGTGGGGAAATCAACAACAACAATAACAACAACAGACATTGTTCGTCAACTATCCAGTGTACCATAATTCTGAAATGCAGTTATATCAGAATGTTTGAGAAATACCTATGGTTAATTTTTCGACATAAATCGAATTATCATCTGTGAACTGGAAAACATTTAGCCTTTTGGTGTAGTTGATCCATGGAGAAATACTCCTGTTGCTTGATACCTTACATTTTCACAACATGGTCACTATGATTGGGTTGAAAATATTTAAAAATGTCTTACATCTGACATAATCGTGTAAACCACTTGCAATAAATACAGATTGTTCTTTCACTTGAATTCCTTGATATTCAACGCACGTCAATTCTAAGTATCATTACGTCTAACTATCGTTCCTATTTAGTCTGTTCATATGGAAAATAGGTTGAGAGTGACAGTCATAATTTGGCACTAATCTGCGTAGTATGAGAGCTTATGAATAATTTTCGAAGCGGATGACATACTTCCTATATTTGCTGGATATCTCTGTTTCTATATTTCGATCCAAGGTGATTTGCTCTCAGATAATGGTAATCGTCTACAAGTTTAGCTGTTACGTCACGTGCGTATAACGTGCACACTCCTCTATTTTGTCAGTTAGATGAATTATCACGACCCCTGAGCATGGAGATGTTGCACAATTTTGATATAGTCTTGATTAAACTAAGTCAGCTCCCCACATTTACTGCAGCTGATATTGCTAGTCGCATTATACAGAATCCAGTTGACTTGATACAACTTATATTAAGCGAATAAAGCAGAGGTTCTGGAATATGCAAACTGAACGCTAGTTCAGATTTCACATGGTATCAATCGTCAAGTCTTCAAAGTGCACTAGCAGGTGTATTTACGTGGTTTTCTTTATTCACCTCCAAGACGAGCACTTGAACAAATAGTATGAACGAAAAGAAATCTCCTATATAAATTAAATGTAGACGGGTAGACTAAAATCATACTCTTGAACCGTAAAGGAGTTTTATATGAGAAGCTAGACAACAAGAAGCAAGAATTTTGGCAAGGTGACTTATTGGATAATCTCTATATTCCGCGGCTGGAATCAAAAATGCAGGTAAGAGCCTATGTAATTTCTGTTCAAGACGATGTTGACTGAGAGCTAGACCAAAACATTTTAGAAAAGCCTCCATATCCTATATATATATATATATATATATATACAAGAAAGTTGTTCTCAGTGACATAGATTAATACTTTTCTTCTGACGTTTTCCTGGCTTAAAAAGATGAAAAGTGTTTGGGGGTAACAGTTGTGTTCAGTATTTCGTCAAGTTGTTAGGTGCATTTTGTTATCATTTTACCCATGTATTAATCCACTTGGACATTCACGTAACCTCTCAATAAGTTAAATAAAATATGTATGCAACTTGGTTAGTGTTGTACAGTATGTTCACGCTGTTGTTTCTTTCATTAGCTAAAATCCCTTTTACCAAATGTCGTCTAAAAATATTTCCGTGCTGAGAACCACATCTAAGTATATACACTTATGTATCTTTACTGTATCTGGAACCTGTTAAAATGTGGTTTCTAAAATCATACACTACTTAACTGTAACTCATGCAGTAATTAATAAATCGATTTATTATTTAAAATAACAGTTTAAGAAATATTGACTAACCTTTCTGAATATATATACAGCCTCATCAAAAGTATAATACTTTTTTCACTATGAAGGAGTGTACAACGCCTCATGATCAACATTATTCAAGTGAAATTACTTCGAAATATCCTCATCCAGCCTTACATCACTGCAGTTGGAATAATAGAAATAAACATTTTCAAGGAAAACCAGGATTTGTTGACCCACTTGGTGTTGTAAAGGTAAATCTTTCTTTTCCCATGTTTTTTTTCCTTCTGCTTTATTCGGAAGATGAGAAGTTAAATCTGTAAGTGAACTTCATTAGTGCAGCACTACCTTGTGATATTGCGGAAATCCCGCAAACGTGAATACTACAACTAACTGTTCAGTATTCTTTGATATTAAATTGATTGACCACTAGGGTGTTGGCAGTGTAATGTTTCCAGTTCTTAGTTTTAGTGCTGACTAGAACTTATCAGTCAAGTTTTTAATGTGGTCACAAAGCTAGAGAATGCTCTCTGAATTAATGTCAGTTGTGAACCGTAATATCTCAGCGAGAACCATCTGATATCAGCTTTATGATACGGAATACTGTTCTGAAAGATCTCTATCTAAAATGAAACCTAACTTTAAGTAATTCATAATCCGAAAATTCCAACATATGATAACTAGGTTTGTCGACGGAAACAGGATGTCTTTCACTTTTTCAACTTTAATGCTCTTTATCTGTAAATGATTAAAGGATATCTTCTCCAGTCAACTAAACATGCTAATTAATTAATAGTTATATGATTGTTTATCACTGTCAAATAATAAAGTCATGCTCATCACACCAATACAGAGAAAAACGTCCTACAAATTAACACAGTCATAATTATTATTTAGTTATTCACTAGTGAGTACTCTGTCAGCCCTTACCACAAAATCACATAGGAATTATCATTCTGAGTCATTTACAGGTTGAAAAGGAAGTCGCCGAGTGCAACAAGTCTCTGACGTCTTCGCGCAACAGAAGTCATTGCTCTAATCATAGAATAGCCGGAGCTGTGTGTTTCAAATATGCTCATTCAATCCCTTAATTTAAATTGGACTAAATTTGTTGACGGTTTTCGTTTGGAATCGTATCATTTGATTTCGTTTTCCACTTTCTGCTATGAAATAACATTTCCCTCTGTTTCTATGCAAACTTTATTTACACCTTATTTTTCAGAAAATTATTTTACTTATTGTACAAGCCTATATAATTTTGGATCCAACCTCTTTGTGGTTAGACTACACATGTTATCACGTAAATTTTCATATCGTGTATAAAAAGATTGTCTCCACTTAATTTCTTTTACTGACTTGTGGCCTAGTATCAATTCGGTTACTTTCAGTTCGAAAATGTGTGAAAGGTGTGATTGCATAGTTTCCTATCTAAGGTTGATCAGTGGTCTTATTCAGATGAGATTAAACTGAACCTCTTTAAATGTCAGACTGTCGATTTTAGTTTCAGGCACGAATAAGACTTATGTGGACTGCTTCACTCCCACGTTTCTTACAATAACGACAGTGATTTTGTCAGAAATAAGTCGAATAGTACCTATCTCGGTATCAGTCTATATTCAAATCTTTGTTGTTCGTCTCATATCTTGTTGATTTGTAAAGACATTTTTCTTTTGATTTATTGCGTAAGTAAGTTGGGATTATTTAGCCTCAATCAATCCATTCTCAATAATTCAAGTGTTCTACCCACTCCTCCTTGTTGTCACTCCTTGTTCTACTCTTAGCTTATAAGGGAAGGTTACATCAGACGACACAGGACTTCAAAGGCTGTAAGCAGGACTAGTGAAGTGCCATTGACTTAGCTAACTAACATTGTTGTTGATAGGTAATTTAATTTCTGCAAGCAGATAGTTAAGGTCATGAGGGGTTCTGAACATCCTCTTTATTCACAACTTTCTCCTTGTATCTCTGTAGTTATAACAAAAGCAAATGCTATTAGAATTTGTTGCCTTACGACTGAACGAAAAAATTCCAACTGTACTATATTTAGCACAGGAGTGGTTTGAAGAGACAAATTTCAGAAAAGGACTGTAAAAACCTACTTTACAATTTCTAAATAAACACATGCGTAAGCGTAGCATCATTATTATATATATTGTTCTTCTATCAACTTCACATATTTCAGTCATGTAATATGATTTTCTTCGTGAGTCATTGGACCGGTTCCCAGTGGCTTAATGGTCTACGAGTTTGCCTTGTAACCGGAAGGTCCTGAATTTGAACCCCATTGAGGTAGGTGCGTACTAGTGGAGAGTTCCAAACTAGGAAGAAACAGCTGTCTAGTCCTCGTTGCTAGTTTTCCAATGTCAGCTCAAGATGACATCCTGTAACCAATCAAATCCCCGAAAACCAACACCTTAATTTGATTTGTTTTAGGAGATACATTTTTGGAATTTGCAATTACTATCATTAGTAATGGCGGTAACATTATCATAACAATAGAAAACATCATTCTACTTTTCAAAGGACATTTTCTAAGGGTAAAAAGGGGGTTCTATCCTAGTGGAAATCTCTAAAAGTGGGCAGTAATTCTGCCCTGAATATTACAAAAATCACTGTACGTAAACAACCAGCAAAATGTAACTATATCATACTGAACCATTCCAAGACGTATAAAGTTTTGACATATATTAGAAAGGATAATGATTGGTCAAGGCAGCACATTGTCTGACCAACTTATCAATGAAGAACGTCATTTAGCTACTGTTTCGGTACGCTATATCCTTGAATTCTTCCATTAAATATTAAAAATCCAATCACACATGCATGTGAAAATATTTGTGTTGACAGCTTGTCAAAAACCTGTCAAGAATTGACTTTGAAAATTAATATTCACACCTAACATTTACAGTCTTTACTGCTGAATCATTGTTTGTTAAAGCTGAACTACAGGGCACAAAGCAGAAAAACCCACTAATATCCTCCAAGTGATCAGTCGGAGTTTGTTCAGATAATATTAACACAATCACTGTGGGGAAAACCTAGTTTAATTTTAATGGTGAATATTGTTCAGAATACACTAAACAGATTTCATATGCACACAGTTTTTCAATTTTATCTCGATAATAACCTAACTATCAGAGTTCGACTATGTCCTTCTGGGATTAATGTGACCATGTAACATTTATCCCAAACCAAAGATGGCTATTTGCATGATATATAAGTTGCCAAAATATAAATGTACACGATAGTATGTTAGCAAATATAATAATTTGTAGGAACAATCTTTTCATAGTTCAAGCATTCATTGAAGAAGATAACGTATCGACGTTGTTCTTGCATTGTGAAAAGTGGGATGAGAGCAAAGGCTGTAAAAACCAACGCGAAGTGGCATCGTGGAAAATTAGTAATGTGACATCATTATTGGGAGTTGGCGTGAAAATATACTCATTTGAGAAGTTGGGATTCATTCTTACAGTATGCTAATGAACGATATTCCGTTTAATATATTTTAATAGTTTTCTAAACAATATTTTCGCTGACTAAACTGTTTTCCACACAGATTTGCTTTTTTTAACGTAACAAGTTACTTTAAGGAGACTGGTACTTTCGACAGCTTGAGGCCTTATAGTTTAATTTTTCCCTGACTAATTTCATGAAATTTATTCCAATTACGTATTTACTCACGTCGACGACTTCAAATACAACCATGATAGTCTTTTTGATATTGAAACTCGGACACAATATACCAGAAATAAATATGGCACTTAAAACTAAAAGAAGAAATGAACAACATTCCAGTAAAATATTAGGTTTATTTAAAAATCCCGAATTATCATAAAAATAAGGATTTATTTCAAACAGCATGTGAACACACAGCACAGATATTTTCAGCATTCCAAAATATTTCGTCTTCGTAAGGGATTTACATTTGAATTAATAATCTGAAGTATGTTATGTAACAGTGTTGTTGCACACGAAGAGAACAGAGTTTTGTTGGAAGATAATTAAATATGTGCGCGAGTTCATGTAGTAATCATCTGATATAAATTCATGATCAAAACCACAAGAAATGGTGAAGAATTTTGGTATTTCGATGGGTGAAATCTCTTGTAGCCCATTGATTTAAGCAGGTCAACGTCAGATTAATAATGAAAACATTCGAAAAGATGTCACTCAAAAATGTCACTGCTTCTTTCAAAAGGCATTGGAGTACATGTCTTTCTAACTATTTCTAAAAAATTTGGTAATTCATAGATTAGGAAGAAGTTTCCATTTTCGAAACATTGGTGTATATTGGGTCATTCTGTCAATATAATAGCCTCTCTGGTATTATCCTCTATTTCAAGATCTTGAAAAACCCTTATATTTCCCACTTAGCTACTGAAATTCAACCAGGAACCTTACATAAGGCGTGAGATGATCTACTATCATGCTAATCGCAGATTTACCTAAAAATCAATACAGTTTTCAATAAAGCCGCCATGATATCTTAGAGGAATTCCATTGAACTTAAAATCAACCTGGCATATTATATAACTCCTTAGTGTAATTGTAGGATTAGGCCACTGTGGTAGAATCTAATTCAATAACTGATAAGTTTATTTATACATATCACGTAGCGACACAGTGATAACAAAAGGATGAAGTCTTCGGCACAATTTGATCCTTCTGATCATATACATAATAACTTCTACAAGCAATTATTTCCATCAGAAGAAAGTAAAAACTAAATCCTCCAATATTTAAAAGAAGAGCCATTTTCTAAACCATTCACTGAAATAATATAGTCTTTACTTTGTTTATCTATAATGGATTCTGTTACTCGAAGCTGATAACAGTTATGTACAAGATTAAGGTTTATATTCCTTTAGAGAGAGAAAACAGGAGGTTCATCAAAGATATTTTTCGGCAATTTCTTCTTAAAACGATGTATAATTGCTTTTGTATACATAAGTTTACACAGATAGTTATTTTTGAATTTCACACGACAAACAATAAGGGAGATAACAATTTCCACTGGTTCACAGTTTCAAAAAAATTTGCAGCTCTGATTGATTGGAAGGAGAACTCTTTTTCCTGAAAAATATTCTGGCTAAAATGGAGAAGAACATGAAACCAAAGCCAGAAGGAGAAAAATGCACTGTAGTATCAACGAAAATAATTTATGTATATAACTGAATCTTAGAGAGACTTATTGGCAGATATCCTATAGAGAAGAATCTCTAGCCCCATAAAGAAGACCTTTCCTGCAGCAACACCACGAGTGGTATTCTCTAGCCGCTCACTGTAATGTGAAGGACAAACTCGCATATATGACCACTCCAATATGCATTTATCACTTCACCTGCTCCTGCAGAGATAGTTACATAGGGCGTTTTATGCGTGTCGTTTCAAAAAGTTTTAAGGAACACTACCCAGCATGGCTGCAAAGGAAGGCATTGGTTCGGTCAGAAGCACCATAACTCAGCACCTTATCAACATCTGTGACAGCTTCTCAACTGATTGACCATTCAGAGTTATTTACAAATCTACCACTGGCAGCATGTTTCCGACTTCGTTATACTGCAGAAGAATTCACCACTTGCATCGAAAAGCCTGAGCTATTTATTCAGAAGGAACTAACATGGATCTAGTTCGTTTTAACTCCTTAGTTCTAGATTTTTGTCTTTTCACTTTTCCTGATTTTCAGTTATAAAAGCTATTATTTCAATTTATGCTCCTGCTCATCCAGTTCACACCATTTTACATATTTTGCAACTACTTTCTAGCCCTGTGAAATTTTCTTTCTAAGCCCCTTGCTATCTATGTTCACAACTTCGAATTTTCATATCAGGTTGAAAATGATTATCAGCTTTAATCGCCTCCATTATTATGTCCGATTAAATAATAGTTGTATTTGTGTGAACTTATGTATGTAAATGCTACTCTACTGCGTTTGAGGATGAAACTGCCGAAAAGATACATTTAATGAGATTCTTATTCCTTTGTCCCTAATGTCCTGATTCGTATTTTCCACAACTACATTCCTCTATCAAATTCTTTAGTTACCTTCTCTTGCAGTTGGGGAATAACATCGAATGTATCAAGACAGAATTTAAACTATTTTCTCTCCTGGAAATAAGCGCTTTACATTATCTGTTTTTTGATTTCTTTTTTTCATCTGACGTTTCATTTTTAACACTGTGTTCAGGAGACACTGGAACAATTCTAATTCGAAAGAGGTCTTGATGCACTTAGCCAAGGGTAATTTAAGTAATTAAATGCCCTGAAATATGATAGTCATTATTTCCAGTCAAAATTAATGTAAACAGTATGTTTAACATTGTTTTTCATTTGATAAATTTTTGTCATTTTTATCTATTTTCCCCATTAAGCTATGCCTACCAATTTTAGAACAATGTACATATGCAAAACCACACGCTCCATACTCTCCAACACCTGCATCATCTAATAGTCAATATTGTGAAGGATTAACCATTTATTTGGAAAAGTGGGAACCGGATATACAAGTTGAACAGTGTAAGTCATTTTATATCTGATCAGTATTCTACTTTGACTGAATTAACAAATCTTAATTCAACACTAAAAACCACCTGATTTCTGCTTTTATTTACTACCTACTTTTTTATCTGAAACATGCAAAGGTTGCACGCAGATTACCTAGAAAAACCTTGGATCGGCAGATTACTGTTGATAAAAGAGGTCACTATTGAAGGTGAAATTAAAATTCGGGGCGCACCAGGGTATTTATTACATGTAGTAATTGCAGTGAACTGATAACTTAGTTAGCAGAACATTTTCATAGCCCAGCTATTACAGCACAAGGCTAGACACACGAAGGCTACTATTTTGAATCCTGTTGTAACCCAATTTTTTCTTTCGCTTTATAGTAATCCGTCAGACAGTGGGAAACGAGAAGACAGGGATATCCTGGACCGACGTGAAGAATCTAGATGACCTGGATTTCGCGGATGATTTATGTTTGATGTCACACAAAATCGAAGACTTACAAGCGAAAACCGACAAATTAGTCGAAGAAGCAGCAAAGAAAGGACTCCAGGTGAACATAGACAAGACGGAGGTTATGAAAATAACCAACCAACCAACAACAACAGCAGCAACGTCCAGCGCCAATCACCATCAACGGGAGGGATTTGAAAGAGGTTACTTCATTCACTTATCTAGGCAGCATTGTCTCAACTACAGGAGCAACGGACAGAGATGTCAAATCGAGAATCGGGAAGGCGAGAAACACATTCATCAACCTGAAACCAATCTGGAAATCTTCGTCACTCCACAATATCAACAACAAAATTCGGATTTTCAATACAAATGTCAAGTCAATTTTGCTTTACGGATCAGAAACTTGGCGGGTCACCAAGAATATTTTCAACAGGTTGCAGACATTTATCAACAACTGTCTTCGTTCTATACTGAAGATCAGATGGCCGGAAAGAATCACCAACAAGAAACTATGGAAACAAACAAAACAAGAACCAATCGCCCAACAAATATGTAGGAGAAAGTGGAGATGGATTGGACACTCGCTGAGGAGGCCACTGGGTGACATTGCGCGTCAGGCCATAGCTAGAGTGGAACCCGAAAGGGAAGCGGCGAGTGGGACGTCGGAGGGTGACATGGAGGAGATCGTGTGAAGAGGAGTTGAAGCAGTATGGACTAACATGGATGCAAGTGGAAAGTACAGCAGAAGACAGAAGCAAGTGGAGACATGCAGTTGAAGCCATGTGTTCCCATGGGAACCCAAGGGAACAATAATAATATAATAATCTAGAGATATCAGATAAAACATAATAGAAAATATACGATATATGTATGTGATTTAGCTTATCAGATTTTCTATTTGGAATAAAAGTTTACCTCAGAAATACAAGGATAATACGGAATGTGAAGTGAAGTAACAGACAGTAAGACATCAATGAATTTGATTTACGTACTACCGATTCTCATCGTCTCGATAATTCTCGCCAAGTAGTAGCCTAAAAGAATCAGTCTGCGAGTCAATAGTTTAATACTCACTGCTAGTTGAACTTTATTAATTTATCTGTCTAATTACAACGTCGAAATAAATAGATCAATCAGGTATGCAATATACTCAGTCAAAAGAATGACATAAGTGAAGTTCTGGCTCACTGGCTCTAAAAAACCGTTCTGGGGTTTGAAGCTCTCCGTCTTCTTCATCCCGGAAACTGACTGACTATTATCATCACGTAAATGTGATAAGTGAAGCGTAAAACTTGACACAGGAAAGATGTGAACTTCGTAACTGGAATGCATTAAATAACTTAAGCAGGATAACATTGTGATACGCGTCATTTTGTTACGACATAGTTGATATTTTGTACTAACCAACAGGTCGCATTATGTTCCAAAGGCGATTTGTACACAAAATCTAATCTGATAAAGCGGCATTTTCAATGAAAACTGATTAATTTTTGCCTTTATTTGGTTGGAGGCAATCGGCAGGAAGCCTTGGACTGATAGAATTCAATCTGCACCGAAGACAGGACTAGACACATTACACTAGTTACTGACTAGTGTCCAATGATTAATGTTTGTCATAATTGATCTTAAACGATAAGTGACACAGAATTGAACTTCTTTTCAAATCTAAATTCACTTATGGAGTCCTAAAAAGGCGGAAAACCTGGATTAATTGAGAATTTCTCGAAATCACCTCCCAGTGTCTAATAATCAGTACAACTTGCTAAAAGCCTTGTTTTAATTTATTTAGGTGTACAAAATTATATAGAATTCCCTTGTAAAATGGAATTAGAAATTTGTTTGGATAAATCACCCAAAAAAGCTTTGCAATTTATGATATCTTATTTACGTCAACGAGGACCATTTATAACATGGACTATTAGAGATGATACGCATCGGAGTGTTAATAGGTAGGTGAAAACATTCTGCACGTATAAGTAATTATTTTATTTAATATTGCACTTAATTTCGTACAAACGTTCTCTGAAAAGTTACTCTAACTAGAAAACAGTTGAATATTATGCTTCACGAGAAGGATGAAGTGAAAGATGAGACTGAGACATTTTGCTGACTAATACGTTCTACCAACAATCATGAAGTTTGATTAATTTTTATCGTAATTTAAATACAGCAAATATATAGATGGATCTCATGAGAAATCATAAGGAAAAGGTAGTGTACATCACGGTTTTCTATAAAGAGATTGATACACATAGGATTCCACTATAACATAGTCAAGTATAGTATATCCATATTCAGGAAGAAAACCCATTCAAATAAATATTTAGACTTCAGATCATCACACCCCATCAGTGCAGTGATTTCAGTTGATAACGGATGAGAAAGAAAATGAAGAATAAATATCAAACATTACTGAAACTCTCAAGCAAAACAACTACCCAAGGAACTTCATCAACAAAATCAACACATTAAGTTTGGCCGAAAACTCATTCCAAAAACATGGATCTCAACAGTCATCATTCCATACAGAGCAGAGATGTCAGACGATATCAGAAGAGTACTCAGTGAACTCGGCACTAGAGTTTCCTTCAAAACATCAGACATACTACGAAACAACCTTGTCCATATAAAAGACCAAATCCCTAAAGATTTTCTATCTAATTATGTCTACAAAACAAAATGCTTGGAATGTGATGGAATATACATCGGACAAACATCTCAGGAAATCAAAATTAGAAGAAATGAACACCGTAGGGCATCTGTTCGACCACCGAAAAATCCAGTTGAACTAGAAAAGCTTGAAAAATCATCAGCTATAGGTTTTCACGCTATAGAATCAGGCCACAAAATTGATTTTGACAATATTGAAATAATCCAGAAAAACTTCAGAAATCACAAAGAACGTCTAATATCAGAAGCACTTCATATCAAGTGGAATCTAAATTGTGTGAATAGGAATGATGGACTATAACAGAATCTCACCTGGTTACAACACCTCCCTCCCCATGAAGTGGCAAGATGAACACGAATGTGATAAACAAGTTCACCATGTAAACACACACTGCTTTCATAAATTTACACACTGATCAAATCCAACAATCTACACTTGTTTTTGTTATCTTTACCAATTGATCAACTTGACAACGAAAAATGACCCTAGACTGACGAACGATGGTCAAGTTAGTAAACTTTGTTTTGATATCATAACAGATGTATTATTACCTTTGTTATTTGGTTTAGTGATCTTCATTGTTATTTCGACTTTCAAAATGTCTTTTAACTTGACCTAAGTCTATTTTCTCACCTATTAACTCTTTGTTATATATATGCTGAGATTTTGTAAATTCCGGTTTAATAATACTTTGACAAAGCTATTAGCATTAAATAGCGAAACGTCAGTAAAAGCAATACCGTTTTGTTTTTCACTCATTGGGAAATACAAAAACCCTTATTGTAGTCAAGTATAGTGTTCAAATTCAGAAACGATGTGTGCTGGGAACGAATATAATTTGGAACACCTCTGCTCAATGAGATGCAATTTATCTAGCTGTTTCTTCAATATAGAATATAGGCTTTGATGTAAGAATAGAACTTGTGCACTGTGGTAGAGTGTAATTCCATTAGGGGTAAAATTTATTTTGATAAATTCTCAGTATTATACAGTAATGTTTATTGATGACGTGTCGAGCACAATTTATTGTTCATAATCATATCAAGGTACTTTGATACGTCATCGATAAATAGTACTGTTTACTATTGAGGCTTTATCAAAATAAATTTTATACCTAATGGAAGAATTTTTTCCTTCACGTTCCCCAGTGGAACATAGAGCTTCAAGCTAGAGGCTTGAAGTTTTTGTAGCAGTGTTTATTTTACAGGATGGGGATGCTAGCCTCATGCCCAACCTTTTCTCCTCACCAGCATTATTTCTGGCTTAGCGAGGTGAAAGAGTGCGTCGGCCGGGGATCGAACCCCGGACCATGTGCATGGTTGGCGAGCGTCCTAACCGCTATGCCACCGACGCACCAATGGAAGAATACAGGCTTCATTTAAATTAAAACCTAAGTATATTGATATTAAAATTAAGACTGGAGCTGAAATTACAACCAAGGAGTTTTTTATCAATTATTGTGCCACGCTAAAATGCAACATTCCCGTTTATTATAAATTTATCTATAATTGCAGTATACGCGCAATAAGAAGTTATACTTTTCGCGATATTCCGAGTAAAACGTTTTTACTTGTTCACATTCCTCGAAATGTTACCAAGATTAAAACTCATTATTCGACTTCAACAAACGTTACGAACACATTAACTATTACTTGACCTATTCCACAATGCACGAACTTGTCAAATAAACTATCCGTATAATAACAGACATCAAGAGGATAAGGAGAACTTCTACCGACAACTGCAAACAGTAGTGAAAAAGAACCTGAATGGCGACATCCAAATTCTCATAGGTGATACGAATGTCAAACTGGGAAAAGATAACGCAGGAGTCTATCGGAGAAATGAATAAAAACAGAAATTTCTCTGCAGATATTTATGTATAATAGCTGTTGCGAAAAAGAAAATATCACTTTTCTACAAAGTTATTTACAATTTTTCAAGTATACTGAGATGAGCGATTTTGCTTGTTTACAAGACAAAATGGAAACGGCGAGTAAAACGAAGGCTGATTTTAATACATGTCTAGAAATCCGTAAATGAAACATTCTGTTCCAGTACATGATATTTAAACAAATAGTCAATGTGACTGAAAGAGGCTTTAGAAAATCACCAAATATCATTAGGATTCATTAGTTAAATATTCTACATACCATCGCCAACAATTCCTCGTGTATTCCAGTGTGTGTGAGAGTGAGAGGTATGTGTGTCAATCAAATTGCAATAAATCAACCACAGTAACTTAAAGGTGAAATATTACATGTTATTTTCTTGACACAAGAAAGGATGGAAAACATACATGTCAGAGTTTAGTCTCCTTTCAATTATTAATCAAATGAAATAAGCAGTTTAACACATAGCACTTCAGTCCCACACTATGTATAATACTTTGTCTTTTTTTTGTATTTGAATAGATTCTTAACAAAAATATTCTCTGGTTATGCACAGAATTTAAATGATTTAGAATTTACTAGTGCAATATTAATTGGAAGATATTTACATTTCTTACTGTCTGTTAGTTATTCATACAATATCTATTATTTTAAAAATATTATTGCGAAAGTATGGGGTCCGGTGTACTTAAATGTGCAATATGAACAAGATGTATTATTACATTTTAAAAGAATGGATGAAGAAACAACTGATTTAACAATATCTGTAAGTAAAATTTAATTCTGATAAAAATGAATGAGATAATAGAAACAGGTGACAACGATTTAAATCTTTCGGTCGGTAACGGCTTGTGATGGAGTCTATTTCGTCCCATTTGGGATGCTGGATATACCTGCGTCTCAGTGAATGTTTGTGTTCCCACTGGGGTGAGAACCCAGCACCCATCTTTCTAAATGTCACGGCTTTATCCTTCACCCGCTAGTCATCGGCAGCTGCCTCTTGTACAATGAGTATCAAATGTTAGTTAATGAATTCTTTTTGAATTTCCCTTTGATTTATTTAACTGAAATGAAATGCTCAATTTATGTCGGTCTATCGACTACTAGTACGGAAGCTTTGAGATTAAATCGAAGTTATTTGATTGACCATGTATTCATACAAAACGATATTGGAAAATTCTACACCATGAGATTTGATCAGTGAATGTTCTACTCATTCATTCACACATAAATGATTCTGACATCTGACTTTCACTCAATGAATTCCGATTTCGAATCCCGTTCTACTTACTTTATCCTAGTTAACTGATTGATTAACACTCCTAGCCACTAGGCCATATGTAAGTCAGTTCTGATTCCTGTTTACAGTTAGCAGTTTATCTACAAACATAAATCGGTATCATATTCTATCTTCAAGACATCCTCAGAGTTCATTAAACCTGTTCGAGTAGCCATATGGCTTAGACTTCATGAGTTATTGATATTTTATAAGCTGACTATAGTTTACTAATTCCAACCTAATTGTACTTCGAAACAGATTGTTTTCCGGGGTAAAAACTGAAGTGTCATACGTAATACAAGTTACAGCACAGTTCTTCGGGATTCATAACCTCATGTATTAATTTAGCCATCAGCAAGTGACCTTAGTGATTCCTGATTTGTCCTACTTCGCCCAGTAATACTTATCAAGGAAGACGACGACTGGACACAAGCACCCGAGGTTGTATCCTACTCAGTCCATGTTGCTTCATAACCTAGCCAACAGACTCACGTTCCTTATCTAGCACTCAAAGCCCTACATATAATACTGTGCACTTAATAAGAGAAACTGAGCGAAGGCATCTATGAGCAAATTTAAGTGTTCAACCTTACCCACAGCTGATACATAGAACAGAAGTACAAACCTCATACAACAAAATTTAGATGCACTGTATTACACAATGAAATATCATTGCTTCATATTGTTTTTGCATTAAATGAATTTACAAAAAATTAGGTGTTGACATTTTTGAAAATTTTTCATTTTAGTTATTCACCCAAATTATTGAAACAATCCCCTGGTACACATTCCAACCATTTGAAGGTGTAGAAAAGAATTTCACTGAAGATAAGAAGTTTCGTTATAAACATTATGCTTCTGAAGAAAGTTGTAGAATCCATAATAAACTTGAAATTCCGGCACACCTCAGCGGAACGATGAGTGATGCAATTAAACAAGAAACGATTGAATATAAATTCAGAAAGATACAGGAAGAAAATTTAAAAAATGAAACAAATCTATCCACTAGTAAAATAGAGGATGGTAAAACTAAGATAATTCCTAACTTTCAACCAGACAACTGTTCTCTAAAATATAAAAATTCATGTTGAGAAGTATTCTTCAACACAGACATATAAAAACATATGCTTACTTGTAGAACAACTTTGTAAATATTAAGTAAAACCTATTATGAAGTGAGGACGAGAAAGAAGAGTGCAAGAGACATTATTTGAAGAAAACAAAAATGTTTTCATGAATACATTTCCTAGCTATACATATATTTATATACATATGTATAATGCATACAACTAGCTTTTAAATAAACAATAAGAAGCACCTATTAACTTTTTATTTCTTTATTTTTCTCAGAAAATAATATCACCCTAATGAGGGATAATTAATTGTGAAACAGAAACAGCAGTAGTCAGAATACTAGACCAGAGCTCTACTATCAGAGCCACGGGATACAGATTCACACGTCAGTGATCACGGGTAATGCTCTATTGTGATATTTCCAGGCTGCCACCTTCCTCCACAAGCAATGTTAACTAATGTATGATTAGATTCCATAAGGCCTATGGATGGTCAAATCCAAGTACGGCACCAATGCCCGAAGTCTTTGAATGCCAGTTTAAACCACGTAAGAATGTGAAAGCTGCCTGCCTGGAATCTACACTATGCTAAGAAACAATGGTCGCAGGTTATTGATGAAATGGCTCAAGATCGTTTGCAGTCGCGAATACGCATTCATGTCATATTATCAGCAAGATTCTCAAAGACCTCTTTGACTTATTATCTCTCCAAGTCTCTCGTACATCTTCGTCTATTAGTCCTCTTACATCAACATTTATGTGAGATTTTATCATCTCTGCCAACTTCAACAGAAGCTTAATTAGTTTAGGCATTCTACTGATCTAACTAACAGGCGGCATGCATATCCGGCAGAAGTCCATCCATTTCTATTTAAATACTTTGGAACATAGCAACTGAAGTTGGGAGCTAAACAGTCAGAGCCAATTAATCAACAGTACATCCATTCAGATATTGCGTAAGACAACTATGAAAAACTTTTAACTGTTAATTTCCTATTAGAGATGGAGGGCAATTCGTTTACCGAGATTATCAATTTTCATTAAATGATGTGGCTAACAAGTGAAGGAGACATGAAAATACACCGCCTTCACCGACGGTAAAAGTTAGTGCAATTAATTTTAGGTTAGACATGTCAAGACGAAAGCCCGGAATAGGATAAAATATGAGTCAGCTGGGCTATGTAATTATTCCACTCTTCAATCTCATGTCTCTTATCAGTCTGGTTTGATGTCTTTCTCAATCTTATAAATGACTTCACTCCTTGTCTTCTTACGGACTCTGGGAGAGTGTATTAGCTTATTCTTGTAGTCACACCCACTTTTATCTATCCTAGAATAAATTTGATGCTTTCCTTTATTTTGCCAGCACTTAAAGTGGTGCACTGTGTATGTATTCGGCAGACATTCAGTTATTTGAGATTTGGTTTAAAGAAAGCAAAGCAACACAAGAGCAAGATATGGAGCAATCACGATGGTCAATTGACGCAAATTAAAGCATTTAATTGATTTTTACAAATAAAAGGTCAGTTTTCCCAAAATACAACTTCTAATTTCATTATTATTATTATTGTTTTAAGGTCACTTACACTAGTTGCAGTGACCTCATTTCAAAATATATTGAAATTAATATCACTGACGTCCTAGGCATGATTTTGATATTGATTTAAAGTGGCAAATCTAAAGATGAATTATTTGTTTCTAGTATAAAATTTGGACATTGTGGTAGAGTATAACTATATTATAGATGAGGTTTTATTTTGATAAATTACACAGTTTTATGCAGTAATATTAACTGTGTGAGTGACTTGATATGATTATGAGCAGTAGTCTGTGCTCGAAACGTCATCAGTTAATATTACTGCATAACACTGTGTGATTTATCAAAATAAAATCTTATGAATTATTTGTCATGAAGACTAGTGCTTCAACATTTGGCTAGTGAAAGTTATAGATTAGGAAGAACTTACTTCATACAAAAGTATACCCATCTCTCGAATGAACTGTGATATTTATTAACACTTCACTGCATTATTCAGCTAAACATTTATAAACTCTTAGATTATTATTAGTTGAACGATTTGTGAGTGAAGACAACAAGATGTGGAGCATATTCAAATATTGGTGACTGGATCATTGTTAAAATGATGGATGCTTATTGTATGTAGTCGACACGTTCCATGAAATGCAATTGACTTGACCTATATAGGGGTCATTGAACTGGTGAAAGAATGACTTATTCATCAGCATTGCATGAGACCCAAATGTCACAGTGCATGAAGTTGATGGAAACGTGACATTTCATTTGTGCATGTGTACGAGGTCTCAGAGACAAATATCTCAACGCACATGATGAATGACTCACAAGACAAATGTCATTCACGTCTTAGGATAGATACCACATGCATGGATAGATGTTCACTGTTGATTGAGAATGCCACACTGATTTTCATGTCTGAATGAAAGTTTCATGTGGTGTATAGGAATCATGGTGTTTTAACAGCGTCATTCGATATTGACTGTTAGGGAGTCAGTGATACTCGAAAGTATTCAGTTCTGTATGGAAGTGTAAACTATTTGACATCTTCAATCTCACTAATTTCTCTCATTCATCACATATGCATTGCGAATTATGGTAATCGGGCACAATTTCCTTTCGAACTGGTAGTATATTACTTGAGATAGTAACGTTTTCTTGATCTTATATATCTGTGAGTCTTTGTTTGTATTTGAACGAGCGTGTTTCTCTCTTTGTTCGCTTGCTGCTAACTTGGCTGCTTACTTGTGTGCCATTATTGCATGAATCCTTTCTTTTAACTGATGTAACTATATGCGCAACTTTGCCCAATTCCTGCGAATCGAATCTCCACCGTAGTGATTCACATCTGATGTAAATACTCTGATTTAAATTTAAATATTGAATGAGCATTTACCGTAAAGCTTTGTGTGAGCTCCCACTATTATGTATCATATCGGTTCAGTTAATATCAATAAGGATGACAGCGGATAACTGTGCACATTGACTGAACCTTGGGTCTGGTGAAGAACCGGTAGTATTAGTGAGCCGGTGAATTGTATGTAGAAACTTCATGTGTTAGACCCTGAAAATACGGTGTCTTCACCCATGCCAATATGACTGTGTTGGTGGCACAGTGGTTAGGACTCTCGCCGACCATGCACATGGTCCAAGGTTCGAACTGCTATCGATGCACACCTGATATCAATGGTCGGCCTGCAAAATTGGTCTACCGATATCGTATGCTGAAAATTCCATACTTGTACCAAAAATACGGTGTGGAATCAAGCTATAATAAAAAAAGGAGCCGGTAGAGAGTTTATTTAATTCGGTCATCTGCTTGTGTCATCATTAGTTACTCTGCCATCCCTGTAATGATAGTAGTGCACCATTTGGGACATATATGGTGTATAATGGCATATGTGAATTTGAAAGGATTATCCTTTCCAATGTGTTTGATTACTTTAATCATTATAATAAGGGAATATTTATTTCAAATGATGTAACTATTTTATGCACATTTGAGTCCTGTGTATACTGACTTTTATTTAACTGCTGTAGCCTTTTCTGTATGACTATTTACGTTGGTCTTTATTGTTCCTTGAAGTGTTGTCAAAACGTGATCTATGTGTTAAACATCAAGTCTCTATCGATAATTTAAACAGTTCGTTACATTATGAAGAGCTGTATGATTAATCGTAAGAACGCTAAATGATTGTGGGCATGAGCATTGTGTCGTTGTTCGCCCTTCATATTCAGATGGGTGTATTTAAATGTGACGGAATTATGAACACTGAAATTGAGGACTGGAATGCTGCGCACATTAACTTCATTCCTAAGTTTTGTAAACAAAATGTTTCACTTTTTATTTACTACACAATAGAAGTCACAATAGTGATGCCATATTTGCTATCATGAAAAACATATTATCACTGTGACGTATTATTTTGTTTTTGAATTACACTTAGAACATATCCATTCATGGTATAATAAAAAACAAAAAATTTAAGAAGCGGAATGTTAATTTCAAGTAACACCACTCGATAATGACATGTGCATAAATGGTCTGGAGTCTTTAAAAACACGATTTTCAAGTAGAAAATGACTGACCATTGTGGGCGTGATAGGTATATATATTAGAAGAACATTTGCATTTCCACTTGTTAATACTCATTTTTGTGTTCAGAATTATACTAATTATGAAATTGTTAGTAGTATAATAACATTGTCAGAAATCATTCATACAGGGTTTAATACATGGAGTCATGCATCAATCGTCCTATTCAAACTGCATGTCAAACACAAGTACTAATCATTCTAATCGTCACACAACCATTACTTATATTACCCAAAGTAATCAGAACATTGTCAAAATTGTGTGAAATGGGATTTGCATTATCAGCTGAGACATTACACCACATTACGTGTTCCTTCATACTCATTGTTAATGTTTCCACCGAAAACGTGTTTAATCACTATGAAGTCAAAACAAACATTCTAAAAGTTATCTCACTGCTGGAAACCTTCTCCAGATCCAGGTTTCCTGACTATCTTCGTCTTCCTCAATGAATCAAGGTTAAAGGGTGGGTTTCCCCAAGACCGCAGATTCCTATTACTAGTGTGCATCAAGAAAAATGAAATTTAGGTCCCGTGCCACGAACGAGAAATTTATTTCTCTTAGTAGGGCAAGCAATTTGAGCATGACAGAATAGTCGAGAAAATCGATTCCTCATATATAACTCACACTTCCAAAAAACCTAATTTTACCTAGGAAGACCAAAATAAAACTAATAAAAATATAAAAGTTTACAAATGTTTAGCTGAATAATGCAGTGAAGTGTTAATAAATATCACAGTTCATTCGAGAGATGGGTATACTTTTGTATGAAGTAAGTTCTTCCTAATCTATAACTTTCACTAGCCAAATGTTGAAGCACTAGTCTTCATGACAAATAATTCATAAGATTTTATTTTGATAAATCACACAGTGTTATGCAGTAATATT